TCAGATTTTAATCAATAAAGTTCAATTTAAATACTTACAGATAAGAAATCGGAGACCCACAGGTAGTTATTTGCTGAAGAGAACAGAGTTTAATAGGGAACTTAGAAGCAGGTCCCAGGTTTTCTAATTTTGGGCCGATGACTCCTACAGTATGCCACAATGAGACTCAGTTTTTTGTTTGCTCTTATTTCAATATGTCATCAGATTTTAATCAATAAAGTTCAATTTAATGACTAGTCTCTATTTTTAGTTCTTGATTAATTTAATTTTCAAATAGATGATATATTTATATTGGTCAAAAATCTAAACACATGAAAGTGTTCATAAAATATATGTGGTCAAAATGAGATTAGATATTATCCTCAGATCATCTTTTATGATATTATTTTTTTCAGGAAATTTCCCTGTAGAGACAACCAGTTTGAAGCAAATGTTTCTCTCATTTTCTTTATGTTCTTCCTATTTTAAAAATTTAAGTAAATATAGACACAGTATGATTACCAGAGGGAAAGGGAGGGGCAGAGGAGGTAGAAGAGGTAAAGGGGAAATAAATGGTGATGGAAGGAGACTTGATTTGAGGTGGTGAACACATAATACAGTATACAGATGATGTGTTACAGAATTGTACACCTGAAGCCTATATAATTTTATTAACCAATGTCACCCCAATAAACTCAATTAAAATTTTTAAATTAAAAATAATAAAATAGCCTGGCTAGCGTGGCTCAGTGTTTGAGTATCGACCTATGAACCAGGAGGTCATGTTTCGATTCCTGGTCAGGGCACATACCCAAGTTTCAGGCTCAATCCCTGGTGGGGGCCTGTGGAGGCAACAGGAGCTGATCAGTAATTCTCTTTCATCATTGATGTTTCTATCTCTCTCTGCCTCTCCCTTCCTCTCTGAAATCAATAAAAATATATTAAAAAAGTAAAATAGTTACCCATAATCTCATCTTCCAGGATTGCTATTTTTATTTTTTGCATATTAACATCTGCATGTATATTCATTCACATGATGCATATTATTCTGCTGTCTTTGCTCAATATTACATCATAAAGTACATATTTCAATAAAAATGTTTCAAAAGCAGTTGCATAACTTACTTTACGAGGCCAGCATAACCCTGATACTAAAGCCTGATAGTGACATTATATAAAAAGAAAGCAGAAAGATATATTTTTAAAAAGTAGCAAATTGTCCTGGCTGGATAGCTCAGTTGATTAGAACATTGTTCTGATACACCAAGGTTGTGGGTTCGATACTCGGTCAGGGCACATACAAGAATCAACCAGTGAATGCATAAGTAAGTGCAACAACAAATCGATGTTTCTCTCTCCCTCTCTTTCGCCCTCTCCCTCCCTCCCTCCTTCTTTTCTTCTCTCCTTCTCTCTGTCTAAATCAATAAAAAATTTTAAAAAATTAGCAAATTGCATCTGGTAATATATGAAAAGGATAATACATTTTGACCAAGTGTCTTCTCTCCTTCTCTCTGTCTAAATCAATAAAAAAATTTAAAAAATTAGCAAATTGCACCTAGTAATATATGAAAAGGATAATACATTTTGACCAAGTGGGGCTTATCTCAGGAATGCAATATTGTTAAACACTTGAACATCAATCAATATAATATGCCACATTGGCAAAACAAATAAGAAAAGCCATATGATATTTCAGTAAATGTGGAAAAAGCATTTGACCAATTCAGCATTCATTCATGAAAAAACTTTCAGCAAAATAGGAATAGAAGAAAACATCTTCTGCCGGATGTAGATGTGGTTAAAGTGAAGGGCCTTTGATGTGGAGACTGTCCTTTATTTTCCGAGTGGGCCCAATTTAATCACATGAGTCCTTAAAGGTAGAAGAGGAAACCAAAAGGGTGGGTCAGAGAGAAGCAATATGAGGAGTCATTCAAAGCCATTATTGACTTTGAAGGTGGAGGAAGAGATCCATGAGTCAAAGAATGAGGTGACCTCTACAAGCTGGGAAGTGCCCTCAGCTTACAGGCAGCAAGAAAGGGGGGACCCCGGTTTTATAGCCAGGAAGAGCTAAATCCTGTGAACAACCCCAACCAGCAGGAAATGGATTCTTCCCCAGAGCCTCCTGAATAGAAAGCAGCGTGTTGAGACCTTGATTTTAACCCCTTAAAACCTGTACTGCAACTCCAGAACTGGATGGTAGCAGATGTGTGCTGTTTTATGCTAAGTTTGTGGTGATTTGCAAATGGCAACAATGTAAAAACTAATGAAGCATTCAACTTCTCAAAGCAGATAACTTTAGCAAATTAAATTTGTTAAGTATGGAATTGTAGATGGTTTGTTCATTCCATTTAATATTTGTTAAGTTCCTACTATGATAAGTTCAACTAAGTTCTTTTCCATAAGTAGCCATTTTAATGTGTTTAATGCATGTATTTATCATATGTATGTGTCAAAGTACAAAATATTCTTATGTGTACATATATTTTTAATGTACATAAATAGAATTGTGTTACAGAACTCATTCAGTTTTCTAGTTTTTCCTCTCAGAACTGCTAAGAGTTACCTCTAATGAAAAATGAACAACTTAGTGTTGCTGTTCAAACTGCTCCATTGTGTGCATCCACATTTTACTTAACCAGTTCCGCAGAGATGGTCACCTGGACTGCAACACCACAAATGAGGAATGTCTTTATATTATCTATCTATTACCGCATAATAAATTCCCCTAAAACTTAGCCATTTAAAACAACATTGTTTCACAGTTTGTAGGGTCAGGAATCTGGGCACAGCATAGCTTGGTGCCTCAGACTCAAGTGTCTCATGATGTTGTAGTTGAGTTTATCGCTGGGGCTGTGGTCTCATCTGAAGCCTCAACTAAGAACGACCTGCTTCCTAGATTCCTCACTTGGCTTTTGGTAGGATTCAATTCCTCTAGGGTTGTTGGACTGAGGGCCTCTGTTCCTCGCTGGCTGTTGACTAAAGGCCTCCCTTAATTCAAGGTGAACTTCTTCATATGTCAGCTCACAACAAGGCAGCTGGCTTTCCTCAGATAAAGCAAATAGAAGAATGAGAGCATGCCCAGCACAAGCCATCATCTGTTTGTAAGCTCATATCTCAGAAGTGGCACCGTATCACTGTATTCGCTTTGTTAGAAGTGAGTCACCAGATCCAAGGGGAGGAAACTACACAAGATCATGAATATCAGGAAGTAGGGATTAGGGTCATTTAGGAAGTGTCTTCACAGTGAGACATATTTCTGTGAATTTTTCTTTGGTGTGTATACGTATAGTGGGTTATAGGTTGTTTTCTAAAATGACTGGTTTTAATACTCCCATGAGCAGTACATGAGGGCTTATATGTCATCATATGCCTGCCACTCCTTTACATTTTCTAGGGCATAAAGGGATAGCATATTGTTTTAAAGTGACTTTATATTTTCCACTCTTGTTTTCTAGTGGAGTTCTTGCCTCTTTTTGCCATTTGCAGGGATTGCTTATAACATTCTAGATAGTAGTTTTTTGTTTTTCCCTCCAGTCTATCATCTATCTGTTAACTTTGTCCAAAGTTTCAGTTGTTGAGCAATCATTTTTAATCTTGATGTAATTAAATGCCTTTGTTTCTTGGCTTTGTGCTCTTAGGCTTTTATTTAAGAAGTCCTTTCTTATGCTGATGTTACAAATGTATCATTATACATTTTCTTCTATTAACTTTAGTTTTGCCATTCACATCTAAGTCTGTAATTCATCTGTAGTAGGTCTTTGATAGTAGGTAGTAAGTTAGGTATCCATCATTATTTTTCTTTATGAAATGAGCCCATATTTTCCTAGTACCATCTTCTGTACAATTTGTTTTTTCTCCATTATTTTCTGGATCCATCTTTATTATATATTGCTTCCATATATACACAGGTCTGACTATATATTTAGTTCTCAATTGGGTTTCATTGGTTTATTTTTGTGTGCTGTTTTTATTACTACCGCAGTATTGCATGGCATTAGATCAATTGAATGGGCCTCTTGAGTTTTGTATACTTTGTATTGAGAAGATATTTCTGTCAGCACTACAATTCTGTCCTTGAAATATCTGGTAGAATTTAAGCTTGCCTAGTTCTAGCATTAAGTCATCTTTAATTTGTTTAATAAGCCCCATTTAAGTAGATAGTAAGTGTTTTTCTTTGGGCTTTCCATGAATATTTCAGTTCCATAAAATATTTTTATGTTCTTCTGGAGTTATTACTTTATTTTTGCTGTGTTGTTGAGATTTCTATTTTCCTGGGCTAACTGTTCCACATGATAATCGTGTTTAAATTTTTATAATAACTGAAGATTTCTTAATGCATTTATTCCTGTTTGTGCTCCTTCTCAGAAAAATTTTGTTTCCTTTTGATTTGATCTAAGATTTGTTTCTACCCTTGATCTTAGCCAAATGGCTGAGATGCGATAAGATTTGTTTCTAAAAGGGAATAATGATCTTGGGAAGGGACGAGAGTATTCCTTTCCAAACGAAATATGCATATAAAACAGGAATAATTTGTTTAGTGTTCATACTTTGCTGAACATGCAGAGTTGGCCTTGAGAATGAGGGCACTAGAGATAGGAGTGTAGGACATGCCATTGTTCTCATTGTAAAGTGACTGTCAACTTGCAAAGGCATTGTTTTCTTTCCTACACTGATTTCTCTTCAGTTTTATAATCTGAATATTTGTTTCTGAGTTATAACTGAACAGAGTACTGCTGGTAATTGTTTCCATTATGCTCTAATAAATAGACTTGTCATTCAGTAGGAGATGGGAATGGGAAAATAGGGAAGTAATGGGATACCTGACCCAAGTATAAGAGCTAATGACTGGAGAACGGTTTCATATTTTTTTCTTAACTTAATTTTTATGTTAAACATGTTAGTATTTTTTTATAATGCAAACATGTTGAATATTTAGATTTGAGTTTTTAAATTCAGAAAAGAGCAATATATTAACTGTTCCAAACTGATCCATTATTCTGTTTTGTTTTCTATTTCTCCAGAGACCTTACATATGAAATATCAGTGGAAGCTATATCAACAATGGTTGTTTTCCTTTCCTGTCAACTATATCACAAGGAAGTTTTGCGACAGAGCATTAGTCACAAGTATTTGATGCGAGGTCGATGGTATGTTTCTATTTTAAATAGAAGGGGGTGGGAGAAAGCAGTGGGAGAGAGAGAGAGAGAGAGAGAGAGAGAAAGTGACCACCTCCCACACTCCCCCAACCAGAGCCAGGATGGAGCTTTTAGCTAAGGTACGTTTCCTTGACTGGAATTGAACCCAAGACCCTTCAGTTTGAAGGCCAATGCTCCAACCACTGAGCCAAACCAGCCAAGGCTAAATTTGTCCAGGTTTTTAACAAAATAGTCATGGGGATGTAAAGTACAACATAGGGAATATAGTCAATAATATGGTAATAACTATGTATGGTGCCAGGTGGGTACTGAAAATATTGGGGGGACGGCTTTGTAAATTATATGGTTGTCTAACCACTGTGCTGTACACCTGAAAGTAATATAAAATAAAATTGAATGTCAACTATAAATGAACATTTAAAAAGTAAACAACAAAAAATAGATTTGTCTATTTTTTTTATTGTATAAATCTATATTTTTGGTCTTATCCCCTTAGTATTTTTAAAATTTTTATTTATTGATTGATTTTTGAGAGAGAGAGAGAGATATTTGTTGTTCCACTTATTTATTGCATTTATTGGTTGATTTTTGTATGTGCCCTGGCTGGGTATCTAACCCCAAACCTTGGCCTAACCAACTGATGCTCTAACCAACTGAGCTATCTGGCCAGGGCCTCTTACCTTAGTATTGTTTTATATCTCCAATCAGACATTCCTCTAGTTGTTCTATCAGCACCTCAAACACAACACATAAGGAACCAGATTCTCCTTTTTTGTCCAAACTGTCCATCCTTCCTGCCCCCGTTACTCCCCAGCTCCATTGCTTTCTGTAGTGATTTCTTTGTAGAATTAAAACTTTGAAGTCATCTATCTTCTCTATCATTCTCTATGTCTAAGCAGTCATCCAGTAATATTTGTTCATTGAAATTATTTTTGTGTCTTTCCCTTTTTACTAGTTCCACATAACCTTTTGACTGACTATACCTACTTTCATTTAGTCAATACATCTTTATTGTGTGCTAACCAGGTGCTAGGCATGTTAGGATGTGGGGCTATACTCTGAACAGAAGCTTACAGTCTTCTAGTGGGTGGGGATGGGAATAAATTAAATACACACACACACACACACACACACACACACACACACACACATCTTCTATTGGTACAGTCTTAACAGAATTTTGGAATGTAAGACAAAGACAGAGTAGCTTTGATTAAAGTTCTCAGGGACTTTCATCCTTCTTAACTACCTTTGTTTTTTTCATGGCAACTTCACTGATAATAGGGAAAAGGCCTGAGCTTTGGCTCAAGAGTCTATTAAGAAATTTTCTCTATATTGCAGGAACTCATCTATCACCAATTTGTGGACACACATCCCTTTTCACCTATTTTTTTCTCCCTTCTCCTCATCTCATTACTTAGAAGCAAAGAGTATAACGTTTGCAAAATCTGTATACACACAGATATATTTTTGTATGCATGCACTAATTGAATAACTTCATACTTAAAAAGTATACTCTTTTATATTATTGCTTTTTAATTCTTGCTTTTCCCTGCTAATGCCATATTACTACCTTCCTTCAAGTGCCAGTCACTGTATTATATACTGAATTTATAATATCTCACCTGTTATACAGATTACAAATAAGGTGAGTTCAAGAGTGGAAGTGATTTGACCAATGATCTATGGCATACTAAGGAGAAAGCCAGAGTTAAGCCTCAAGTCTGATGGTCTTCACTATTATGTGACCATGCTAGACTTCTTTGAATTGTGCTAATCCTTTTGTATTACTAGACGATATAGATTATTATTATATACAGTCAGATGACTCCCATAAGTATGAGTGTGATTTTCTTCTTTTTTTCTTTCTGTGTAGTCTTCCATACACCAGCAAACTTGTGAAAACTTTATTGTATAACTTCATCAGACAAGAAAAGCCACCTCCCCCAGGCGCCCACGTTTTCCCTCAGCAGTCGGATGGGGGAGGACTGCTGTATGGACTTGCATCAGGCGTAGCAAGTAAGCCCTTTCTGACTTTTTCAGTACTTTGATGTACACAGATTGTTAATTAGTCATAAATAATTCTGTTTCCCTTGGCTGCCACTATTAATAGTTATATTGGATCTGTGCAGCTGTCTAAATGTGACATACTGAAAATAATTTACAATATTAATTTTTGCGTTCAGTGTAGCGAATGCATTTAAATATATGCAAATAATGAATAAATTGTTTACCTATAAGGCACCATTTTTCAAGAAGAATGTTTATAAATACGCATTTTATATGAGTTCTAGCTGTACAATTCAGTTAAGCTCTTGGAAACTTTTTACTGCTTGTGCTTTATAAGGAAATCATTCTGTTTTAAGGACTTTATTGGTTAGGTTTTTATGTGACTAGTTGGGTATAGTTTTCTTATTGTAATAAGTGTTTCATTTGTTGATGACCAATTAGTATATTTTGAAGAGTTTTGTTACAAATTCAAAAGTGGCACAAATGTGAGTTTTATCAGATTAGAAGCAAATTTTGTTAACTGTGGAAAGTCCTTTCCCACCAAAGCCTCATTTCTGCTTCACAGTGATCAGACCTAAGACTCTGGAAGTACCGAGTACCTCTGGTCCGCCCCTTTGTTGGTGTGGAGGACCTATGCCACGAGAGGCTATATAAACGGAACTTTTGCTTTATTCTGAAGGAGAAACAAAAAGTAGGCTGACACTTTGGTAGTTGTGAGGTCTGCACAGAGGTGCTCTTACTAAACGTCTACTTAATTACATAGTGCAGAGTTCAGCTGTTTGGAGGAATTTTAAATGGAGCTGAGTTCCACAGCTGAATTATGGTTGTAGCATCCTCGCCACACTCAGGGAGGAACATCAGTTTGATATGAAAATGTAGTTCTACAGTGTGGTAACATTAGATAATGAGTCATGGGAACCTCTTTGTATAAAAGACCTCTCTGTTGATTTTAGGAATTGATCTGTGAACCAGGCTTTCTAGATTTGCCTTCCTTTGATATCTTTTAATTATGAGTTGAGTTACATTTGTGAATATTCATGGCTTTGTCTTTGGTGCGGAGCAGGCTGCCTAGAATGCCAGACCTGCAGAATTTTATTCTCCGAGTTACTCTTACCTACTGCCTGCCTTGTTTCAGGTGAGGAGGCTGTACATGCTGGCTCATTCATGGCCATGAAGGCAGCATAGGAATGGCTTTTTGTGTCCCATAGGAAGACTTCATTAATACAGTAGTATTTGCTTTTTTAAATTATTAAACTGGTATAGGGATTTAAAGGTTGAGTATTTTGTAGTACTCCGATATGGTTGGAGATTTTGGGGAGCAGATAGTATAAGGTCATTCGTTGCTTTCTCCAAAACAATGGCAAAACTTTGGAGTTTTTTAAAAAAAGTAAACATAGATTTATGGGTGGTTTTGGTTTTTCTTGAAGTTGTGTCATCAGAATGAAGTCCAGGATGGCATCTGGTGTCATCAGCACCAGGTGCCAAAACACTTGACTTCTAAATTTTAGATCTGCTTGCTCCCACTTAGCTAGCAGTATATTGGAAGGATGTTCCTTAATTTTCCTACCTTCCAGGTTCCTTGTCTTTCAAATGAGAAAGTTGGGATAGATGATCTGAGATTATTTCCATATAATTTTCAATGATCTATGGTCTTTTAAAATTTACTATTCAGTTAAGGGCATTAAAATAGTTAGAATTTTTAGTGTGCTATAGTTACAGCACATTTTATATAGCTTTCTTCCTAAATCTTTACAAAGCTATTCATGCAAAAATATAAAACATGATGGAGTAATTATTGTTATTTCACAGCATGCAAGTCAAAGGATTATAAAAACAAAAGGACATTCTCTTAAAAAACAAAGCTGTGTATTGTGGGTAAAATGTAAATTTTATCACAGTATATAATTTGAATTAAGCCACATTCTAAGAAAGTCTGTCAAACTGACAAAGAAAATTTGACTTTAGTTCTCAGTGATCACTTTTGATGATTTTTTGGTTGGTAGTTAAGGAATTTTCCTACTTTAAAAAAGTGTTTTTAAAAATTTTTTTTATTGGGTTTTAGAGAGAGAGGAAGGAGAGACAGAGAGAGAGAAACATTGTTGTGAGAGAGAAGCATTGATTGGTTGCCTCTCATATGCACCCCGACTGGGGATTGAACCCACAACTTGGGCATGTGCCCTGACCGAGAATTGAACCGGTGACCTTTTAGTGCATGGGATGACGCTCAACCAGCGGAGCCACACTGGCCAGGACAGAATTTTCTTACTTTAATATTGGCTTGAGGAAATGTGATTTGGAGGTTCCTCACTGAAAAGAAATAATGTTGCAAAGCTAGATGCAGATTATAAACTCTTTTGGATTATCTTCATTTTCGTTGGGATTGAATTTTTCGTGGGACAGAAAACATTTCCTTTCATAGTGTGTGTATTGTATGTTTTGCTGAAATTATTTCCTCTGAAACAGCATGCCTTATTTTGGAAAACTTTATAGTTTTGGATAGTGAAGTTCTGTTGGTTCTGGCAAGGGAAGATGAGAATCCTGATGCTACAACTGGGTCCAGATGAGTAATGAGTCACATGTCTGGGCCTTCACAGGAGTTCGGCAAGCCTTCTCCAGTTCATTCTCATTTATTTCCGGTTATCTGTTATTTGTTTCCTAGATTCCTGCAAAACCTTTGTTAAATCTTCGGTGCCTGACACTCTTTTTCATGCCTTTGCTGGGTTATCTCTTTAACCTAGAATCCTCCTTCCTCCTCTCTGTCACTTTGATTTTCTGCCCATCCACCCATTAAGCTCCATCCCAAGTATTACCTTCTCTATGAAGAGTTCCTCTTCTCCCTCGCAGCAGGATGTAATCTTTTCCTGTGGCACTCACTCTGCTTTGCGTTATGATTACTGTGTAGAAGTTTTATCTCCCTAAATTTCTCTACATACAATACAGTAAGAGCTAACATATTTATAACACTTCTGAGCTTACAGAGCAACTTTTTGTACATCTTACTTTATTCTCATGGCTACCTTGTTAAATAGATGTTTCTACCTTTTGATGTGCTACATATAGAGATGTTCCTAGCTATTAAATTGCTTGTCTAAGATCACACAGGAAAGAGGTGATGTTGGTTTGCACTTGATCTTAGTTTCTTTGCTTCCTGAACTTTGCTGTCTTGTCTCTCATTGTTACTGTCTGACTCCTGAGTGTGTAAGCAGCTGCTTGACTTCTCTGAGGTTGTTCACTGCAGTATCTAGCAGAGCACCTTACATCTGGACTCTCAATAAATACTTGTATGTAATCTAATACCAAAAGCTAATGCTCATCTGTACTCAAGGCAGGTGTGAAGTCAGTTATAGCGACATGTCTATCATTTTTTGAATGCCTTCTGTTTGCCAGACAGGTTAGCAGCTATTTTACATACATGATTCTTATCTGCTCTTTTTAAAAATATATATATTTTATTGATTTCAGAGAGGAAGGGAGAGGGGGAGAGAGAGAGAAAGAGAGAGAATCATTGGTCAGCTGCCTCCTGCACGCCCCACACCAGGGATTGAGCCCGCAACCCGGACATGTGCCCTGATTGGGCACAGGTGACTGGGAATTGAACTGTGCATAGGTCGACACTCAACCACTGAGCCACGCCAGCTGGGCTCCCTCCACCTCTTTTTAAAAGCTTTATTTGGAAATAAAAGTCACACATATAGAAACGTTCCAAAAATAAAAATATTACAAAAAAATCTATATAGCTTTATTTAGATTGATTTGTTAACATTCTATCCCATTTGTTATGTATTTGTATTCGTTCCCTTTCTTTTCTTTTATCATTCTGCACGCACACACACATGCACACTTTCTTTTTAACCACTTGAGGGTAAGTTACATTCATCATGGCCCTTTACCCCTAAATACTTGAATGTGTACTTCCTAAAAGGTAACATCTCTTACACAACCACAGTATACTTATCAAGTTAGTCAATTTAACATTCAGCTATCCTTAAAACAAATGAGGTAGGCATTTGCTTCTACCTCAGTAAAAATAAAGAATAGAGATTTCCCTCTATAGTTCAAATTCTCCTTTAGTAAGTATATAATGTCATTTGTGTTGCTCTTAAATTGAATTTTTACAATTAGGTTTTCTTGTGCCTGCGTGTACCGATTCATCTGTCTTAGACTAAACACTCCAGGATGCAGCATCTGTCCTTTCTGTTTATTATTGGCCTGCAGAACACAGTGAGTGCTTGGATAATGTTTGCTCAAAGTGTCACAAACAATTAGAGGGATTATTAATACTTCTTCATTACTACCGGTAAGTCTTTTTGCAGTTAAAGAGAGTAGTGGAAATTAACTTGTCTAGATTTTGTTCTTTTTTAAAAAGTGTTTTTACATTTGTCAAGTGTGATTTGCTTCTTTAACTGAAAGTGGTTATATATATAAACCACTGGTAATATATATAAAATACATGCCAACATGACTCTATTCATAATCTTCAGTACAAGAAAAAATGGCTTCCTTTTCCTCTGTAGTTTGTTAGTTTAGAAATTCCTCTAATATGCTGAGAAAATGGCAAAATAATCAATTGCTATATTACTTTACTGTGTAGAAAAGAATGCTACAGTTTTCATTACTGTGGTTTTTTAAGTGAATCATAGAATTCTAGGCTTGTAGAGATAATTATAAAGGCCACACGGTGGCTCCCAGCATTAGCAGTGCCTCCCTGCATACTTTAAAACAATGCATGTGCTTACACCTTGGAATTTCTGAGTCATAAGGCATGAGGTGGGGCCGGCCATACACATTTCCAGTCCGCATTCTAGAAGATGGTGATATGGCTGGTCCATTTCTGCACCACTCGGGTGCAGGCCCCTTTCCTGTGCTGGAATCTGTTCTGCTGTGGGCCCATCATGGCAGACACTTGAGCCAGTACAGTTAATTACTGAGGAATACATGGTTTTGAGGCAGCTCTAATGGGTTCCACTGACCCCCTTCTATGTAAGATCTTAGTTTCTCTTACTGATTTCTAGAAGATGGTGATATGGCTGGTCCATTTCTGCACCACTCGGGTGCGGGCCCCTTTCCTGTTGGAATCTGTTCTGCTGTGGGCCCATCATGGCAGACACTTGAGCCAGTACAGTTAATTACTGAGGAATACATGGTTTTGAGGCAGCTCTAATGGGTTCCACTGACCCCCTTCTATGTAAGATCTTAGTTTCTCTTACTGATTTCTGCATTGCTCTCTGTTGTTGATGAGGTCCAGTTTATCAGTCTGTTCTCTGGTCTGACCATGAGTACAGTTCTCCAGCATCAAATAGATTGGAACTGGAACACCCCCACCCCCACCCCCGATTCTGGACACTGTGCTTTTTCATTAATCTAGTCAAAATGCCCGTTGGCTCTTTTGGCAGATAATATTCAGTTATTAGTGAACTTATTGTTTCTTTTGCCATAGCATTTATGTCCTATCTTTTCTCCTTCAGGTTTTATGTACACAGGTACAGACCTTTCAGTGTATTTATTCCAGTTAGTTATAATTTTGTTAGTTGTGGTGTAGACCATAATTCCAGCCAAAGAATAAGATTTGTTCTCATTTTTAGCTCTAGATCATCATTTAAAAAGTATTTTGGGGCTTCCTGCTTTTTTCAGGCGTATGTCCTTGACAACATATTGTGAGAGTTTGACACATTCTAATTTCTGTGTGGAAAGCAGAGTATATATGTAAAATAACAATGAAAATTATTAAAACAGGATTTTGTGTCTCTTTTATGGAGAATAGATTTTATTTCCTGGAATCCCAGTGAGGATTTGCTGTGGGGGCAGTAGCCTGTTTTCCCCAGACAGCCAACAGTAGAGTTAATGAGGATTCCTAAAGTTTCCCTGACTTTTAGGACTTAATCTCAAGGATCTTCATGAAACTGGGGCTGGTAAACCCCCCAGTGGCAGGAGATGTTGGGTGAGCCTCTTGTGAGTTCATACCAGGCTCTCCCCCTCCTCTCCTCTCTCTGTTCTTTGGATTACACCTCAGGGACCTAACAGCTGCCTTTTCCCTCCACTCTTCCTGGAAGTCTTTGTGGATCAGGATGGATTTCCAGAGCCTGATACTGAGAATCAGATGATTTAGATGGAGTCCCAGCTCAGGGTGATCTTAGACATGTTCTTCAACTTTGAATCTCATTATAAAGCTGATAAATATAAGCTGTTTTGTGAGGCATAAGTGAGATATTGTGTATAAAACCACTTCTAAAACTGTGTAGTATTTATCCTCATGTTACATGCACCAATGCTCTGCTGCTGCTTGTTAATTAAAATTAAAATAATTGAAAAGGAAATAAATTTAATTAGATGAAATTAATGATCAGAAAATCTCTAACAAATTTATGCCACACAATTTAAAAAATTAAGAGAATATTTTATCTTTTTTATCTGCTCAGTGTTTAAAATTTATGTAAAAACTGTCTTTTTGAAAACTGACTAAATTGAATACATCAGCCATGTTTTTGCTGTTTCTCCAACTGGCTTTTCGTTTTATGTGGTGCAAATTTTGGCCAATGGCAGTCAGAAAGGAAAATTTGATTGTTAAATAGATATTGCCCACAAGAGATTTGTCCTTGCTTCCTAACTGAACTTGCCTTGACAACAATCACTAAGGTACCATTTCTTATTAACTAATTTATCTGATTTTATTTTCTGCTTGAGAGTTTTTTTATAAAATTGGCCAAAGATTTTAATAAACACTTGACACTGACCCAACCTGAATTGTAATAAAATTTCAAATGTTCATCTAATCAAAAATATCAGTAGTATTGGTAGTCTTAGTTATTGTCAGCAAGGCAAATGATATTTATTTCTTACTTGAATTTGTAAGCATATCACCCTACCTTGTTAGAGATGTTCTACAGAACAATGGCCGAAGACCCTTACCTGTGTGATTCATTATCTGATGGGGAGCTCGGTGTTGGGTGGCAACAAATAGCTCACACTGCTGTGACACAGTACCATAGACGGGGTGGCTTGAACAGTGGACATTTATTTCTCACTGTTCTGGAGTGTGGGAGTCTAAGATCAAGTGCTGACAGGTTGGTGTTCTGGTAAGGGCTCTGTCCTGGCGTGCTGATGGTCACAGTGTATGTTCACATGGCAGAGACAGGAAGCTCTGGTGTCTCTTCCTATTCTTAAAGGGCACTCATTTTATCATGGGGTCCTCATCTAAACCTCATCACCTCCCAAAGGCCCACTCTTATTACCATCACATTGAGTGTTAGGGCTTCAATATTTGTTTTGGGGAGACACAAATACTTAGTTCATAATATGTACTAAGTAGGTTGTGCTGGAATTCCTCTCACTGAAATTCTCATTTTGGGAGACTGCTGGTCTCCTTTGTATGTTGATAGCTAAGGCAACTTTTAGCTCCAGTCATTCTTTATTTTAAACCACAGCCCTGCTTAGTGGTGGTGGTGAGGATTGTGGACAAAGCAGAACACTCACGGCCCACTCAACCTCACTAATGTGTGTGTGTGTGTGTGTGTGTGTGTGTGTGTGTGTGTGTGTTTAAGGCATTCCAAAATAGATAAGCAGCTCCTCCAAAAATACAATTTTGTGATTGAAACAGATTTTTTCCCTCTGATTTTGGAGTCCACTGCTTTATATTGTCCTTTGGCAGCACTGGCTCTAGATTTTGGTAACTTGGTATTATGGAAGAGGTGCAAGTATCAGGTTCTGGCTGTTGGTAAAGACCAAGAATTGAATGCCAGTCCTGCCATTTGTTAACTAGGGGTTCTTGGGCTATTTAACCTCTTAGTGACTTAGTTTCCTCACAGTTAAATGAGGATTATCTTCTCTGATAGGGGCTCAAATGAGCAAAAGTATAGGACACAGGCTGGCACCTAGTAGGTACACAGTAAAAAGTCACTGTTGTAACAGGTACAGCATGGTAATATTTAAAAGATAACTTTTGTTGAAAAAAATAGAAAAGAAGCCAGTGACTGTATGATTTACAAGTTTACTCAGAATTTGAATGTAAATAAATTATGAAAATATCTGATATTTATTTATAATGTAAATTTCATATAGTCACTAAAAGAATTATGTTGAATAGTTATATTGTGAGAAGGAAAGATAAGTTACAACATTTATTCAGTGTTTCTTTTGATTCTATTCTTCTTTGACCTTGTCTTTTAGTATATTTTCAAGCTTTTAAATTGTCTCTAATGCTTAAAAGAAGGTGAAGCAAGGAAGGTTGACCTTGAGATTTCTTGTGTTCTTTTTGTTTTTGTTATAAGACACAACTGTAATGTGATTATAATTGGGTATTTAATGTTTTAAAGAGCCAAGCCTGATTAAATGTGTTCTGCCAAACTGCGCTTTCCATCACAAGTACTGAGGTTTCACACAATAACTTCTGATATATGGCTTTTCCACTTGAATGAGCCATCAAAAATGTTTTTCCCCCTTTGCTTGCTGTGGTGGGTGTCCCAGCCAAATTATAAGACTGAAGTGGTGATTATTTGTTTAGACAAATGCTGTAATGGAGAATTTAATAAAGTAGAATTTGGAGATTAAAACTCATATTTCTCCAAACTGCTATTATTGAGAAAGTGATTAAATTCATTATGATAGGGATGGCGTGCAGTAGTTGTAATTTATATTATGTGATGTTTTTTTTCTCTTCAGTTTTGGCTTTTGCTGGGCTGACTCATTGAGAGAAAGAGAAAAAGTATGTGGCACTCAGAAACAAACAGGCATAGTTGTGAAAACATTCCTAATGAAAGCACTTTGAATTTTCAAAAAAAGAGAGTACTTTATAAACAGTAATTACATTCTCATCCATTTTTATTTGGGATGCTTTGGTAGATTTTATATACATGGTGAAAGAATGACCTTTTTTTCTTCTTTATTTTCAGGAATGAACTCATTTTTTGACTAATAAAATATAGTTAATTTCAGTTTACTATTTCCTTGTAGTGGTTTCTTGCAGGGACACATTGAGCATTTAGATTAGTATCCACAACACAGAATGACTATATTTAGTTGTAGAGTAGTCATATAAGTTATTTTACTTTTTTTTTTTTAATATATTTTATTGATTTTTTACAGAGAGGAAGGGAGAGGGATAGAGAGTCAGAAACATCAATGAGAGAGAAACATCGATCAGCTGCCTCCTGCACATCCCCCACTGGGGATGTGCCCGCAACCCAGGTACATGCCCTTGACCAGAATCGAACCTGGGACCTTTCAGTCCGCAGGCCGACGCTCTATCCACTGAGCCAAACCGGTTTCGGCAAGTTATTTTACTTTTAATTGTTCTCTGAAAAAAGGATTTATGTCTGATTTTAGACTTTTTAAAAGGTGTTTATGAAATGATATTCATTGGAAGTAATATAATGTCAAAATACAATATTGACTTATCTTTTATTGTAATATGCTAACAGCCACTCCCAAACCAGTTTCTGGAAATGGCTTTGAAGTCAGTATGCCATCCTATACTCTCATTTCCTTCTTAGCAGATTTGAAGGGAAGATTAAGGTCTCTTTATGCCACAGATAGTTGGGGAACAAATTCATTCATCACCAGGAAGAATATAGAAGAAAGCGAACAATTTCAGATGAAATTCTAGGAATAAGTTTCTAAGTCATGCTCTAAGTGTTGTTTATTTGGCACCAAATTTTTAATCTGTTTTTTATTTTTATTTTTATTTATGTATTTTAGAGAGAGGAAAAGAGAGGGGGGGGAGACATCAATTTGTTGTTCCACTTACTTATGAATTCATTGGTTGATTCTTGAATGTGCCCTGACCAGGTTTCGGACCCACAATTTTGATGTATTGTATAATGCTCTAACCAACTGAGATACCAGCCAGGGCTGTTCTTGAGACTTCTGTAGCATAATTTATTGTGGAATTTTAAAATTTAAAGATATTTAAAAAGTAAGAATGTTAAAATTATGGAATTCTAATTTTTTGAGAGTGTAAATCTTATTTGAAAAATGAAACTGTTAAAATGGATTTGCTTTAAAACTGTTAAATTCTATCACGGTTAAGTGAGTGTAACTTTTATTAAGCAGCTGTTTTAATTTACATTAATTTCAGCATGGATGTTTGGAAGTAGATTCAAAGGTTAAATTTATTCAAGGTTATTTGCTTACAATTTGTGAATGGTAATAAAAACCCTCATAAATTATAGTTGGTGTAGTTTAGAGACCCCTTTTACATGAATAAATATTTTAAAATATCTAGTGTTATGAGTTATATGAAGACTTCCCTTTTGAAAATTTTCTGCAACTTTGAAGTTATTTTGATGGGTGCATATAGGGATGCATAGATGGGTAGGGATGTTATCACAAATTTAGCAAAATGTTAATGTAAAATCTAGGAGATGAGTGTATAAGTACGTATTCACTATATAACTCAGCTTTTCTGCATGCTTGACAATTTTTATAATAAAATGTTGGGGGAAAATAGAATCACTATGAGGATGAATTAATGTTGTAAATTTCAGGTTGTTCATTAAAAAGCTATCTCTAAGCTCCTAATTCTTCCTGAATTGCTAGGTAAGATTCTGAAGAATGTGAAGTTTGGACCAGACCTGGGCTCACATTTTTACTGAGAGCTATTTAGCGATATAAGCTTGTGGAATTTTGTAACCTCTCGAAGCCTTTCCCCATCTGTAAAAATGGAATGATGATTCCTTGTAAGATTATGGTAAATGTCTTCATTTTTCTCCTCTTCTACTTGTTAGTAGGTTTTGTGAGCCAGACCATGGTCTGTGAAGGCCCATTGAATCAAATTCGGTGGCTGTGGAAGGAGAGGGCAGCCTCTGCACTCACTTCTGTAAGGTCATCGTGGCCCCATACGTGACAGAGGCTAGACAAAAGAAAGGGAGGAGAGAAGCAGAGAGCCATTCTCACCAGCAAAATAATGGGTGGATTGGAAATAATACAGCTTTTGGCATCAGATGGGCCTGAGCTGGAAACCGGGCCCTGCCTCCTATGAGCTGTGTCACTTGGATTAAGTTACTTAACTTTGCTGATCCCTAATTTCCTCATTTAAAAAAGGCATTTAGACTCTCTTTACCTGTCTGTGGGCTTTTGTGAAATTTAAATAACATGACAAGTAGTGAGCAAGTTTTTAGAACATGATAAATGCTGAAAACAAATACTAGTTACCATTTATTTACCTGCCTCATCTTTCCCCCCTCTCGTTTGTATCAGTTTCTCTAGTTTTACAAACATCTTACATATTTTGTCTTATATGTTTCATGTTCCTTCAGCCTTTCTGCTTACAAAATTAAGCAACTCCCCTCACCCCCAATTTTCTAGATTATTAAAAAGCGTAATCACAGATCCAGCAGCAACCTCCTTAGCATCCTTAACCATAACTTCATCAAATTGGAAGCCTTACTAGCTATCAGTACCATTTTTCAGGCTAAAGGAATTACAGCTCCACACATAAACTGGATGACTCTTAGAACACGACCTTGTGTCAGAACAGCAAGTTACAAGAAAACACATACAATATGAAAGTTCAAAGACAGGCAAACCTATATCCAAAAAGCCAGGCAAATCTAAACTACACTGTTTTAGAGTTCCGCCTGTAGATGGTGAAACCCTAATGACAAGCAAGGACATGGTTATCATGAACATGGATAGTAATATTTGATGAGGAGCGAAGTACCTGTCCTCCTCAGTTTACCAGGGATGGCAGCAGTGCGTAGAAGTATGTTTTATTCTTCAGATGTCTTTGGTTTGCAATTTAAATGAATTTCTTGTTTACTCTTGTTTGCTACTTTTGAGTTTAACCAGTACTTTATTTTGAGTTACACCAGTACTTTATTCTTTAGGGTGATTTTTGTTGACTGGTGTTTCTTAACCTTTTTCTTTATTATCACCATCCTAAAGAGCCTTTTTAGAGCATTTTTTCCTAATTGCCATTGCCACTCTCAAAGGAAAATTTAAAGTCACAAATATATACTGTTTATATCTGTGCTTTATACCTAAAAAGAGTTAGTTTTTTTCATCCTTCCCACATCAAGTTTTCAAGTTTTGCCCCAGGAGCTGATACTGCCACCTTTGAAAATGCATAGCGTAA